GGCTGCTGCAGACTGGTTGGGGAGTGGCCAGGCCATGGCCCATCGGGTAAAATATTCGACCCCAACCAAAAGGTACTTACTACCCCGAGGAGTAGCGGGAAACGGACCCAAAATATCCAATGCGACGATCTCATTGACCCGGAAAACCTTAATGGATTGGAGCGGCGGGCAGGAAGGCCTAGCAGGTGGTTTCCACCGTGCACATTCTGTGCAACCTTGCACAAGGTCAGCCACATCATTTGCCATGCCCGGCCAGAAAAATTCCACTTGGATTTTAGCTAGTGTTTTCTGAACACCCAAATGCAAGAGGCGACTGTGGATTTCCCACACAAGTCGCCCACGTAGGGAGGTGGGCACCACCAACGTGTGGGATTGGGACCCCCCATCCCAATGCATGAGGACGCCTTCCCGGATGACATATGATACGGGGCCCCCCTGCCCCCTGTGACCCTCGGCATCCCTAGCGCGGCGTCTCAATTTGAGGAGGGAGACGTCTTCCATCTGAAGACATCCCCAGTCGTCCAACCCGAGGCCCAGCAATGCGTCCTGCAGAACTTGTGTGGAGGGAGCCCCGTGGTCCCCGACCCCATCCCCGGCCGCGGCCACAAGGGATGGGGGCGGTACCCCGTCAGGCTGCCTACAATGCCCCGCACCCAAAAAACAAGCACAGCGCCCATTGTTCGGCAGTCATGACAACCCGTCGGCGTTCCCGTGTTGAATCCCCTTGCGGTAAATGACAGTGAACGCAAAGTCCTGCAGGATCTCGAGCCAACGCGAGAGCTGTCCAGATGGTTGGTCCACTCGCAAGGCGTATTGTAGCGCCGCGTGGTCGGAGCGTACTGTGAAATGCCTGCCATACACGTATGGTCTGTATTGCTTTATGAAAAAAACGATAGCAAGCAATTCGCGGCGCGTCGCGCAGTAACGTTGCTCCGCGGGCGACAGCACCCTGCTGCCATAGGCGACGACGCGCTCCACTCCATTGACAATTTGCGACAGCACCCCTCCAATTCCGGTGTTGCTGGCGTCTGTATCCAGAATGAATGGAGTGGTAAAATCTGGATAAGACAGGGTAGGAGCATCGACCAGTGCTTTTCGGACGGCATTGAACGATGCCTGTTCTAACTCTCCCCAACGGAATTTTACCCCTTTGGCCGTTAATGCGTGGAGGGGCTTCGCGATGGATGCGAATCCCGCAACAAATCGTCGATAATATGAGGCGAAGCCGATAAAACTCCGCACCTCCCCAACAGAGGTAGGAGTTGGCCATGAGCGCACGCAATTTGTCTTTTCGGGGTCCGTGGCAATTCCCGAGCGGCTGACAATATGGCCCAAGTAACGAACCGAATCCCTCATGAGGTGGCACTTTTGCGGTTAGAATTTGAGGTTAGCCGCTCGCATTTTAAGGAAAACTGCCTTCAATCGCGTGAGGTGTTCATCAAAAGTTTTGCTGAACACGATTACATCGTCGAGGTAGATTAGGCAAGAATCCTACTGGAGCCCAGCGAGGACCAGCTCCATCAGGCGCTGGAACGTCGCCGGGGCCGAGTGAAGACCCATGGGAAGTCTGTTGAATTGGAACAATCCCTGCGGCGTGCGAAAGGCCGTCTTTGGTTTGGATGCGTCATCAAGGGGTAGCTGCCAAAACCCCGAGAGGAGATCCAAGGTGGAGAAGTAGTGCGCACCTGCTAAGGCATCGAGCGACTCGTCCATCCTGGGAAGCGGGTAGGCGTCGGCCACAGAAATCTTATTAAGTTTCCTGAAGTCAACACAAAAGCGGAGGCTTCCGTTGTGCTTCTTAACAAGAACGATCGGTGCCCCCCATGGGCTATTTGATGGCGCAATGACATCGGCCGCCAACATATCGTTGACGGCCACCCGTACATGTTCCTTTTCGGCCGGGCTCAACCGGAATGGGTTTTGACGAATTGGAGCGGCATCACCCGTGTCGATGTGGTGGCTTAGCAATTTAGTGCAGCCAATGTCGAATTTGCTTTGACTGAAAACGTCGGCGAAATCGCTCAGCAGCGTGCGTAATTTAGCATGCTGTAATGGTGACAAATCGGCAGAAGTGGAGCAATGCGGGTCGAGCCATCCTGCGTCAGAACCTGGCTTGGCAATGGAAGAGGACTCGCCCCCTACGTGACCCACGATCACATCTTCTGACGGGGCTGGCGTCGCGTGAGCAAGCACCATTCCCTGACAGATAACGGCTGTTTCCAATCCCGCGTTAAGGACCTGGATAAAGGGGTCATGGTCGCTTCGCACGAGCGTTTGTGCACACACGAGGTCCGACACCCGCTCAGCTGAACGCGAAGGCCCGATCACAGCACCCCCCATGAACGCGTCGTAGTCAAGGGGTTTACGAAACCGGAGGGGAACTAACATCTGAGAGCTGGGAGGAATGTGAATTGTGCAGGCCGCCAATGCCTGCACCGTCGTAGATGCGGAGTGCAACCGAGTGGGTGTAGGCAGGAAGGCCATGCGTCGGCCGGAGGGGAGCTCAATACTCCCTTTGTTAATGAGAATTTTAATGGGCATCTTCCCCAAGAAATCTGTTCCGAGGAGGCACGGAACGGCGAGGGTTGATGAGACCAAAATGGGGCCAACTAATTGGACGTCAGCAATGCGGATCTGAGCATTGATCCGTCCGGTGATGCCCAATGAACCCCCATTTGCGGCATAGCATGGCACATCAACTGGCTGCAAGGGACGGCATGTATCGGGCAGAATGTTATAAATTATGTCTGAAATGATGGTCGCCGACGCACCCGTATCAATCAACATACGAACATCAACGCCCTCGATGGAACCCACTACGGCAGAGGACCCTGCTGCCGCGGCAACGACCCTATGGGCCAACTCGGACCATTGACCTGGTCCGAGCGCCCGGTTGTTCAATGATGGGCCTGAATCCCCCTCCTCCGAAGCATGACCCCCCTGTGTGGTGTGAGGGTGCGTGCTTGTTGTAAGTGGGGGCCGAGAGTGCGAGGTGTCGTGACTCGCCTGGGTATGCCGAGGATACGGTGGTGGGCGAGGCGCCGGAGGTCCTGAAATCCGGCGTCGGGGGACCCGGCAGCCGGACGCCACATGGCCCCGAAGGCCACAGTTGTGGCAGATGATGGACGCCCCATTCTGTCGCGAGGTTGGCCGGTCCCGCTGGTGGTGATCTCGCTGGGATCACCAGTTGGACGAACCGCGACTTTCTGTTGCTGCGAAGGCCTGATGAGGCCCCGAATGCACGTCATAGGCTTGTGCATCAGGTGGGCCTGCACAGGCGGCGATGGTCGTGTCCTCATCGCAATGTAGGTGTGCTTGGATGCACCTGGCAGCACGTAGCGACGTGAAGTCGTCGTCGGCTGTCGGCATGGCAACTCGAAGCTGGTGGGCCAAGCTCATGAGCTTCTGCAGCACGAGTGACTCCACAGCATCTTCATCCATGCGAGGGTAGGCAACCCGCTCCATGGCCAGCAGCGCGCTGCGGTACCCCATCGCCGACTCGGAGGCGTGCTTCGGATGGGGGTCCATAAATCAGCCGCATCTGATGAAGGGCATCCGTGAGCGTGGCACGTTTCGCTCGTGGCACCGCAAGAAGTGCTGCGAGGGCGTCGTCGTCGAGCATGGCCGGGAGGCCCTGGAGCGCTTCATACTCCGACCAGCCGGACGTCTCTATAAGAGAGACGAACCGGCGTTCGAACGCTGCCCACTCACCCCCCTCTGAAGAAAATGCCTTGAGTTCCGGCAGGCATTGCTGGACGTGAGCCCAGCGCTCGTTGCCTGGCAACCCGGCTGAAGCTGGCTTCGCGTTCGCAGCGCTGTCACTCGGCGGTGAGGGACGCAGCGCTGATGACGTGGCGTTGCTAGGTTGCAGACAGCTGTCACCCGGAGGTGAGGGACGCAGCGCTGATGATGCGGCGTTGCTAGGTTGCAGACAGCTGTCACCCGGTGGTGAGGGACGCAGCGCTGATGACGCGGCATCGTTTGCTTGGCCGACGCTGGGCCCGGAAGTGACGTCGCTCCCAGCGGTCATTGCTCCCCCGGCAGAAGTGACGACACACCCGGATGTATTTGCGGCGGGAACGGCTACCATCTTTGTGTTGGAGCCGGCGGAATGGCGCGGCCGCTGCGCCGCCTCTCTCCCTCCTGTCTCCGCCTGTGAGCGACGCATGTCGTCCAGGATGGAGACGGTGGCGTGGAGCAGTTCGGTGAGGCGAAGCAGCGTTTCCTCCATTGCTGCTCCCGACGCTGGAGGAAGATTGGCAGGTGTGGTGGACGACTGCTCAGCCGGCGGTGCGGCGTCGTTGTCGGCCCGAGTTGGCTGCCCCGTCGCCGCTTGCTCCTCAACATTGCCGTCAGGACTGAAGGTATGTGGCTTACTTCTTGTCTCCATTTCCACTTCTGACGCCAAATGTAACGGGTTCCGGAGACACTTGTAGAGGTAACTTCTTTATTACAATACAACACTCCAACAGTACTCCAACAGTCCAACACTCCAACTCTCCAACACTCCTGATACTCTGTTACAGCCTAGGTACACAGCCTAGGTACACAGCCTAGATACTCTACTCTGGCTACGCTCTGGAACTCGCCCTCACAAGGTCGTAGAGTCGGGAGTTCCAGAGTCCCACCACTGGCTCTCACAGCGTCCCAGGGTCCTCCGATGGCTGGTCTTGGGTCTTGGGTCTTGAGTTACGACTGGCCCTGATCGTCCAGGGAGCTCTGCTTTTATGCCCAGTCCCCAAAGAGGGGTGGGGCCGTGTGCGCCCCCAGATATCTCACAGAGCACACACAGCCCCCCCCCCCCCTTTGGCGGCGCCAAAGGGATTAAGCGCCTGGGAACTCAACGCCTGACGCCAAGAGGCTTAAGCGTCTGGCCCACCCAGGGTCCCAGAGCCCCCAGCAGCCCCTCCCTTCTTATGTCACTACATCAGCAACAACAGCGGCAACATCATCAGTAGCAGCAGCAACAACAACATCAGCAGCAGCAACAACAACAACATCAGCAGCAGCAACAACAACAACATCAGCGGCAGCAAGGAGTCCGCTCGTCGCCCTCGCCCGCCATGGCTTCTTCCCCCCTCCTGCTGCTGCTGCGGGCCTCGCTCGCCAGGCGAGGCGCGCCTCTGTTGTCAAGGCAACAGGTACAAGGCCCAACCCGACGTCTCCCGCCGTCGCTCGCAACTCTGAGCCTCCGGCAGCAACTCTCGACACTCGACACTTTGAACAAACGGCGACGTGTCCCACCACCACCATCACCACTCCCAAGCGTTCAGGCGGTACGGTGAGTGGTCGAGTCGTGGCCGCGGGCTTCGTGTCTCCGCCGTCGTGACCTCTTACCCACTTTACCCTCCCCCCACGTGTTTGTGCCACGGCGGCGGTGGTGGCATAAATGGAAGCGTCAATTTTGTGCAAATGTGTGGCGTGGGTTTTATACAATTTTATTCTAGGGCCGCGGTGTTGCAGGCGAAAATTTTTATATTGATTTAAAGCTTTCGTGACTGCAGGGATTCATATTCTTGGTTCTTTCGGTAAAGTCACGTAGAAGGGAAATAATAAAATAATAGTGTTTTATTTTATTATTTTATCATTTCCCTTCTACATGACTTTACCGAAAGAACCAAGATTAGGTGAAACGTTGTTGCTGTTTGTTTGACCCGAAGCGAGGGCCCCCCCGGTAAGAGGGCTGACCCACTGCTCACAAACTCTATAGAGCAGTGTTTGTTAACCTTCACTGCCTGCAGCCTTGCACCCCTTGGGTTGTCAATCGGTAAAGCATGTATCATGTTAATGCGTACATGGGGTTTGATGAAACAAAGTAGTTGTACTTACGTTCCTCATTTGTGTTTTAGATTATTTACCTTCTAAAAAAAAATCTGCCCAAGGGCATCTCGCACTCCCAAAGGGGTGCGTGCTACCCCAGGTAAACAACCACAGTCCTAGAGGATCAGCAAGGGTGGACCGATCCCTGCCACGGGAATGCGGAATATCCACCCCTGAATGAGGGCTGCCAGTGGAGATGAACACCTTCCCAAGTTTGAGCCGAGACATTGCGATTTCATTTGCCCCAATGTTTTTGTTTGAGAAATTGTAAAGTGAACGTTCATTTTTTTCGATTTAAAGCTTTCGTGACTGCAGGGATTCATCTTGGTTTTTTCGGTAAAGTCACGTAGAAGGGAAGTAATAAAATAATAAAAATAAAACATAATAAAATAATTGTCACGACGTTTCGGCTACAACGCAAGCAGTCGTCTTCAGGTGAAGAATGAGACACTGCCAAGCTAGGAGCTTATATATAAGCTGAGTTGGAGGTGGAAGAAGAGCGCCTTAACAAAAGAATGTGCATATCAAGAGGAATTTAGCATATTCATGGGCAATGCGTAGGAGGTGGGCGGGGGGGGTTTCAAAGTCATATTATGCCCATGCATTATGCAGGATCAGCAGCACCAAAGGGAGGGGGCAGGGGGTAGCATTAACAAAGGGAGGGAATGTTAATAGTATGTAGAAGCAATGAAACATGTGAATGGGAGAACGGTGGCAGGAGACCCGCAGCGGAGCAAATAATGCATTCCCTGTGGAGAACACAAGATACACAGTTAATGCCAGTGAGTGGACTGCGGTCTGAAAGTCACCGTTAACGTGAACAACAATCAGTTAAGATCCGAAATGGTTTATTACGTCCTTCCAATGATTGCTAAGCCAGAATCCATCTTCTCGGTTGAAATTGTCTCTGTGTTTGTATATGTGGATTGCCTCATGAACGAATCTCTCATGGTAGCCAGATGGCTTGCAGAGAACCTCTGTCTTGGAGAAGTCAATGTCATGTGAGCCCACTGAATTGTAACAGTGATCTGCCACGGCTGAGGTGTTTGTCCTACCGTGTTTCAGGTCTGCTTTATGTTCACGGATGCGGTCCGAGACATGTCGTTTGGTTTCTCCAATGTAACTGCTACCACAGAGGCAACTTAGTTTGTAGACGCCAGGGTACTGTATGTCTGGAACCACGTCTTTTACAGACACATGACATTGACTTCTCCAAGACAGAGGTTCTCTGAAAGCCATCTGGCTACCATGAGAGATTCGTTCATGAGGCGATCCACATATACAAACACAGAGACAATTTCAACCGAGAAGATAGATTCTGGCTCAGCAATCATTGGAAGGACGTAAAAAACCATTTCGGATCTTAACTGATTGTTGTTCACGTTTACAGTGACTTTCAGACCGCAGTCCACTCACTGGCATTAACTGTGTATCTTGTGTTCTCCACAGGGAATGCATTATTTGCTCCGCTGCGGGTCTCCTGCCACCGTTCTCCCATTCACATGTTTCATTGCTTCTACATACTATTAACATTCCCTCCCTTTGTTAATGCTACCCCCTGCCCCCTCCCTGATGAACGTTCATTGTTGTGTCCCCAACAACATCCGTTCGTTGCAATGAGAACAAATTCACTTTATGGCGGGACCCTGGGGTTCCGAATAAACGGAAGTCTAAATCGTAATTAATTTATTTTTAGCGACTCCGTCCCTCCGCGCACATAAACGCCTCGACCCGCCTGGCGCGGATCATTCTGTTGTCATGTCGTGTCCAAGCGCAGCAGCGAGGATGAATGCGCAGAAGAGCTGAACAAGCGAATGCACTCCATGCTCGGGTACGGGCAGGATAATAAGTCTTGTTCAAAGCTGCTCAAACTGCCTACATGAGTTGAAAGGGTAAAAACCTATTACTATATTTTGCCATTGGTAAAGGAGGTCTCATAGTGTAAATGCTTACCCCGACCTCTCAATACTGACAGTGCACTGTCTTTGATTTATACGCCCTTTGGCGTCATCTGGTTCAACACCAATGGAAACTAGGCTCGAAGAAAAGCTGTCTCGGGTGTGGACCAATCAACTTCAAGGACAGTGCATATCATGATCATCATCAGAGTTGTTTCTTTTTGTTTGCATTTTGACTGCTTTTGTTGTGGTTATTGCAAACATGATGCCTTGTATAAAGGTGTCAGTTTTTGTACCGATTGAAAGGGTAAAAACCTATTACTACTGCCTACATGACTTGAGTCCTTTATTTGTCACCACGGTATGCATAATACGGTAAAACTGCTCTCTTATCTTCATTATTATTTGTAACCTACCAATGTCTGCAGCCAGGATCAATCGATGACGATCCTATTACCTGCAGAACAGATGAGATGCGTTGCACCGTTAATTCCACCTGTTTGATAATACTTCTCTTGTCCGTATACATCTGTGCAGATTTATTTTGCGGTTAAGCCATAGTCCCCACATACCGCTGGTATCAATGTGGATAAGAGGAGCGGTGACCCACTACTCTGTAGAGTAACATTAGTATAAACGCTTGTTACAATATGAACAGCGCATTGAAAACGCGTACTATTGTATGTATTGTTTACAAAGTGTGTTCACGAATCCACACTTGAGAAACACGATGATTGACAGAGGGGTGTATAAAAAATTTCGATAGTGTATTTAAATAGAGGTACTGCAGGTAAGTAGTTTCAGTTTTAAAGGCATAGTTTAACAATCCAACACTTCTCACCATCCTTCAAACCCATTGGTGAAAAAGAGCAAAGTTTTTGTGTACATTATAATATAATGTTTATACGAGAGCCGGGGGCTTATGGGACCCCGGGTTCCTGCCATAATGTTCAAATGGTGAGTTGATACATTGACATTTCACCGACTTTGAAACGGAGGCTTGTTCACGCTGACCTTGATACCTAACAACCTGTTATAGGAAGAAAAAAAACAGTTACCACGATTGCAGGTATAAATGATGCCCTTCAAGTGGGTTTTGTCTTATAATGTTTGGACTTTTGAGAGGAAACAGGGTACAAGGGGCAGCTGCTCCCCCCACCCTCCTCCAAAACAAATCTTTGAGAGTCATTTGCAATTTGCTGAGCCAAGTGGAACCAGAAGCATCTTTTATTTTATTTTAAACCTACGTGACTTTACCGAAATAACCAAAGAGTGGATTCCTGCAGTCACGAAAGCTTCAAATCAAGACAGAACCGTACCATAAAACAACTCTGGCCTCACAAGGCATCTGACTCTGGGCCTAGCAGGGCCAAGAGCAGGGTCAATCATGTTTGCCAAACCAGTACACTTACGTGTGACATCAGGGGCGGCATGTGTTCCGAAATATATAACGAGTAATCTGATGCCTCCATGAGCCACGCATGGCAAAGCCGGCTCGGCACAGCCCCGGCTCGTCTCGCTTGTACAGCGAAAAAGGACATATGAGCGACCGCGCGCGGGCCGTTGCTGCCATCACGCGGCTTGTTGGCAAAGCCTCAGCGATCCCCCCATTGTGTCCTTAGGGCTTGGGCGAGCAGCGGAGACGCGCGAGCGATGACAAGTCGAGGCCTCACGCCTCTCACTTCCCGGCACAGGCAGCGCCCATGCTGCCCCCTGGAACCTTCGCCGGCAAAGTAGCGTTTGTGACGGGTGGTGGCACGGGGCTGGGCCGGGGCATGGTGTCCATGCTGTCTGCCCTTGGAGCTCAGTGCGTCATCGCCAGCAGGTGGCCGCCTTCACCACCGTCCGTCTGTCCTTGAATACGCATCTGACTAACGCTGCCCTTTCTTGCGGAAATTTGAGTCGTAGTCTTGAGTGAAAGTGGCTCACTGCTCACATGAGCATTGAGCAACAATCATCTTCTTCGTAGCTCTTGAACCGGTGGTGGAATGTCTGCATGGCTAGAGCCATCCTCTCCGTCGGGTGACTGTTGACTTCCCATTCGATCGTTCTTATTTTATCTACTCTAAATGGATGGTGAGCCAAGTCAGAATCAGAATATTTATTTCGACTAGAAGAATCCAATGAGCTATCAAGCTCTCTTCCACAGATATCCAGTCGGGGCGAGTCAGAAAGTAACAACAACAAACAATACAAAAACAGATGGCAGTGCAAAGTATAGGAAAGCTAAGCAAGTCACAAAGTTTATAAGTACAATTTAAAGCTTTCGTGACTGCAGGGATTCATCTTCTTGGTTCTTTCGGTAAAGTCACGTAGAAGGGAAATAATAAAGTAATAAAAATAACACATTATCAAATAATACAATTCTCACGACGTTTCGCCCACAACGCAAGCAGCCGTCCTCGGGTGAAGAACAGGTCTTTCCGACAGACAGTCTTTCCGACAGACCTGTTCTTCACCTGAGGACGGCTGCTTGCGTTATGGCCGAAACGTCGTGAGAATTGTATTATTTTATTGTGTTTTATTATTTTATTATCTCCCTTCTACGTGACTTTACCGAAAGAACCAATAAGATGTATAAGTACAATTGCATAAGTACATACATTCCTGCCGATGTTTCAACACCAAATGCAATCTTGCAAACCTTGACTAGGATTTGAACTCACGTCTCTTCCATTTTTTACTTAAACACTCTTGACTGCAGCGTCGCTCGGATGTGATGGATAACCTACTTGCTGTACTATACGGCCCCCTAGAGTGCTGCTTTGTTTATTGTACCCAGGAAACTGGACGTTCTGCAGCAGACAGCAGCAGAGATCACGGCCGAGACGGGAAACAAGGTGCTCGACAAATGAGTCCTCTATACACCACAGGATGCCTCTTTGCTTTACAATGACATGTGATGGGTGATCAGCCATCCTTGAGAATGAGATGTGTGTGTCTACCGGACTTGTGATATTAGTGCTATTGTAATATATTACAATAATGTACATTCTGTAATGACAGTTTTATTTTAAAATGCATTTAGAGTAGACATTTCCACATAATAAGCCACTTTGTTAAGCTATAATTTGTGGCCAGGTTGCTTCTGAAAAAACATCTTTATAGCTCAGTGAGACTTAGTAAAATAAAAAGTTTATTTTATTATCACCACTTTGCTGAATGTCTCCAACTATGCGTTTTTTGGTCTGTTATTATTGCGTTTGTGGTGGTTACAATTCAAGATTGTGGTGCTCATCGTTGTGCGCTGGTGGTCGCGCTATCTGTGCTTGTGGGGGTGCTGGTGCTGATCGTACTCGTGATTATGGTAATGTGGTGGTGCTGCAAGTGGTAGTGCTAGTCGTGCTGGTTCTGGTGATGGCGCTGGTACTCGGTGTGGTTCTAACAGTGGTAGTGATGGTTCTAAAGATGCTACCGGCGCTTGTGCTGTATATCAGTGTTACTTCATGGTCATGGTATTCGTGGGAGTGATAGTACTCCTGCTAATTAGTACCGGTGGTGATGTTGGTGTGCGCCCTGTGCCTGACTAGGTGCACGCCGTGCAGTGCGACGTGCGGGACCCAGCGTCAGTGAAGGCGGCCGTGGATTCCGCCGTGGAGGTTGCGGGGCTGCCCCAGGTCGGAGGTCGCTCCTTCACTTTGCGCTCACTGCACACCGCTCATCTGTGTTTGGGTGCCACGGTGGTGAGATGTTAACTACCTCGCCTGGTATACAGGAGGTTGTTGATTCGATCCCGACCCTGACGCTTGCTCTATATTTGGAGTTTGAGGTGTTTCTCTCTCCTTGGTCATGTGGATTTTTCTCCGGTTCCTCCGGTTTTTCCCTCCACATTTAGAATCAACGTCACACGTTCAGAGTATTTGGCTGCTCTACATATCCACGTGACAATGAGCCACTTCGTTGAGCCATCATTTGTGGCCAGGTCGCTTCTGAAAAGAGCTATATGGTTCAGTGGGCCTTACCTGTAAAATACAAAATCGTTTAGTTTAGTTTTTGACTTGTAATCCAGAGGTCGCTGATTTGATCTACCGGCGTGGCAATTGAAACAACGGGAAAGTTTCTTAATTCCCTCCACCGTTGTCCACGCGGGTATATAAATGGCTACACTACATTTAGGTTGCGTACATATAAATATTTACGTGACAGGCCGTGGCGGGTTTAATGACACATTTATATCATGAGACCTCCTTTACCAGTACCAAAATAGAAGAATAGGTATTCCCCCTTTTTTCTGGCAACAAAACTGAAACCTTTTTAAGAGGAATCATGTCTGCATTAACCATAATACTTGTGGTCACAATGCAAAAAAAAAACACTGACAATATATGCATTGTCCTTGAAGCTGATTACTGCAGACATGATTCCTTGTAAAAAGGTTTCAGTTTTGTTACCAGAAAAAAAGGGGAAAAACCTATTCTGACATATTTATATTTACACAATCTAGCCCAAAAAAACCTTTATTATCGGGGCTCTAGAGCTTGAGAGCTCCCTCAAGAGGCCTCTCTATAGCTCCCTCTAGAGGAGGCCCTTCCGCTGCAGTGGCATAAGCGAGCAATTGCAGGGCTGCGCCTTTACCCCTCTTGCCTTCACATGAATTACTTGTACGTACGTACGTTGAATTTCTTTCGCACCATGCGTAGCCAGCTGTGCTAATGGGAGGCGCTTGCAGGTGATCATCAACAACGCGGCGGGAAACTTTGTGTCCCCGAGCGAGCGTCTCTCCCCCAACGCGTGGCGCGCCATCACAGACATCGTGCTCAACGGCTCGGCCTTCGTCACGCTGGCACCTGGGCAAGCGGCTCATCCAGGCCGGCAAAGGTGACCGCTGCTTTTGTGCCATCGTGGCCGCCGACGACGACAAATGATCATGATGGTCACGACGATGAAGTTGACGTTGAACGTGCGGTGTGCTTTGCTACAATAGGCCATTGTGTGCTGGTATCTTCTACCAAACCAAACATTTTAGAAAATTAACCCCAAGTACAGGTATCTCTCGATTTACGAACGTTTGGTTTACGACATTTCGTGTAAACACAATTGACAAATTAAGGACACTTTTCGATGAACGAAATCTAATTTTCGCGTGAATGAAATCTCACTACGGCCACGTGCCGTGAGATCGTCACAGAAGAGCCACCTGGGAGGCTGCGGCATCGATCGGCCACAGAGTCTCACGGTGTCCCCACGGTGCAACAGCAACACACCTCCACAGCACCTTTACAGTCAGATCTTTTTCCATGAAAGCTAAATTTTTCCTTTTAAATTATTATTCAGTCGTTTTAATCTTCATGTTTTTTATTATTATTATTATTGTATTGTGGAAAATGATATAGGTGTATATATTTAGGTTAGCAGTTGAGTTGTATTAAATGAATCGGAAAAGCCGTTCAGATTTACAATATTTTATTGTACTCGTGTTTTTTAAAGAACGCCTTCCTTTCGTAAATCGAGGGATACCTGCATTAGAGATTAGAGTGCTCAAATTTAATTCAGAAGACCGTAAGTTAAAATCGTGGTCAGGGGTCAATTGGGCCATCCATTTCCCCAGGGTGGCTACACTGTGTACCACTGTGTGGAAAGTTTGCAATGGTTGCTCAAAGGGGAGTGGCCCCTGTCACAGCAATGTGGAATGTTCACTTTAGGCCCAGAGATGCGTCCGTGTTCAGCTCTCTTCCACAGCACTTACCTGGCTGAGCCAGGAATAATTTTAGTTTTTTTTTGCATGGAAAAAGTTCATGAGACAGATGTCAGCTGAAATAAAAATAATTCTCGCTCATGTGAACAGGTGCTGCGTTCCTGGCAATCACCACCATTTATGCCGAGAGTGGCTCGGGGTTTGTTGTGCCAAGTGCAGCGGCTAAGGCTGGAGTGGAGGCCATGTACAAGTGAGTGTGGGAATGTTGACCTGGTGAGAGGTGTTCTCACATTCTTGTAAGAGGTCATTATCTGGTGTGATACGTATATTGAACTTCTTTTGCACCATACATAACCAACCGTGCTAATCGGAGGTGCGGGGAAAGGACAACAAACAAACCACAAAGCAGTTCTGAAGAAATTAATTTTCAATATAGATTTAAAAGTGTTAAGCTCCAGTAGCTTCCTAACATTGGAAGAGCGTTCCAGACGGCCGCAGCAGCGCATCTGAAAGCGCGTGATGCCGTGACCGTTTTTATTCAATGGATAGCCAAAAGCTGCTGCAAGGATGACCGAAGTTTGCGTGATGGTTTATGCTCATTGATGAGATCAGCAAGGTATCGTGGTTCATTCGTGGCAAGCACTTTGTGCGTGTAATGAGTGCGACCTTATAATGTATTCGTTCGGCAACTGGAAGCCAATGCAGCTTAGCGAGCACTGGACAGACATGATTGGATCTTACAGTCAGAGGTGGGACAAAGTCATTGTTATGCAAGTCCAAGTCGAGTCTGAAGTCATCAAATTCATGACTCGAGTCTGACTCGAGTCCAAGTCACATGACTCGAGTCCACACCTCAGAGGTGGGACAAAGTCATTGTTATGCAAGTCCAAGTCGAGTCTGAAGTCATCAAATTCATGACTCGAGTCTGACTCGAGTCCAAGTCACATGACTCGAGTCCACACCTCTGCTTACAGTACCCGTGATAGGTCATATCCCTGTGAAATATATCACAATCTGGTAAGAAGATACATTGCAATTTTTAAGGTGATGTCCTTGTGGCAGAAGTTTTGTCTAAAACCTAATCATATTTTGTATTGTACCTATCACAAATCATATCTGAAATCTATTCATTAAGATGATTTGGATTTAAAAAAGTGTCTAAATGCAATTGTTTTTTATAACATCGTACAACATGGATGCGACGTTAGGTTGAGGGGTAATGATGGGGAAAGAAGGGACAGGAATGCTATCGTGAGGCTGTAAATACGGTGTGAGTTGGTATATTTCAGAGCGGGTCACGAGGAATTGTAATTTGCGAATGGGTTGTAATGCCGTCCCTTTTTTTCCAGGTCTCTAGCTGCAGAATGGGGTAGGTATGGCATGCGGTTCAATGTCATTCAGCCCGGACCAATCAGAACCAAGGTGAGGTGTGTGGGTTTCTGGGGATGAGTCCGGTGGCTCAGAGAGAACATAGGCAACACGGTATAATGAGTGATGTGCGACTTAACACAGCTATGCATGCCAATCCTGCATCTCCCAACTCAACCGAGCAATTGGGTGAAACTTATTGCTTTTGATGGTTGTGAGCCACTGGTGGTAAATCCACGTTCCCATGGCGAGGGCCAGTTTTTCCGTAGGATGACCACTTTTTTCCCTCGACATGAATTGCCCCCGCCCTTACCCCCCGGATTTAGAGTCAAGCACTTTTCAACTGCAGTGCCACTTTGTCAAGCATCAGAGCATACGTGTATGGTGCTGACAATAATAAAAAGATTGTAATGCTAGTGATGCAGATTATAAATCGTAAGCCGATAACGATATTGATGATGATGGTTTTGGTGCTCATGACATCAGTGATGCTGGTAATAAAACCGACGATGCCCATGAAGTACGAAAATATAGCAGTGTTGGCATTGATGGTATTGACTTACTGCTGATGATGACAGCTACAAATATAACACCCCAACTGACATTGATGACCAAAGGTTGGCTTTGGAGCTGCTGACGACCCCGATGATATTAATGACGATGGTTTTTATGAAGCTGCTGCTACAGCTGCTGCTGGTGGTGATGTGTATGTTTGTGTATGTCGTATGTTGCTTGTGTGTGTACATGTGTGTGGGGAGTGGTGGCGCTACGAACCCGGCAACCTAAGTTCGATTCCCGCTCGTGTCCAAAACCCCCAGACGATTGTATCAACTGGTCCTTGGCCTTCCCGAGGTCGACTCGGCCTCAAATGAGTACCTGGTGCGGTGTGTGAACATCACCACTGGGGAGACAAAGGCGGTCGGGCATGGTGTTGGCCACCCACCCCCCTCGTGTGCCGTCACGGCCTTCATAGGTGCTACTCGCTAACAGCACTTGCTCCAACAGTCTGTAAAGGCTACACGGGGGATCTTTGTCTTTGGTGGTGGTGATGCCGCCGTGTAGGGCGCGTTCAGCCGGCTCGACCCCTCGGGCATGTTCGAGGAGGTCATGCTGGATCGGATCCCCGTGGGCCGCCTCGGCACCATGCCGGAGATCGCCAACCTCGCCACCTTCCTGTGCAGCGACTACGCCAGCTGGGCCAGCGGCGCCGTGAGTGCCACTACATCCACCACCACCATCACTATCACCAACAACTGGAGCTGTGCACTTTTAAAGATTTAAAACTCATTTGTTTAGAAATGCTTTTTGTGTTGAGTTTGCTGTCCTTTCCCCGCACCTCCAACTGCCCAGTAGCGTTTCTTCATGATCCTTGTCCACAGAGGCTGATCTTGACACCGTTGGTACCAGTCATTGGCAAATCCACTCAGCTCCACATCCTCTTGTACCACATCACTCCATCTCTTCTCTAGCCCGTGCCTGCGCCCATTTAGCCCCCTTTATCCGACCGAACAAAAGCTGTTTAGGCATGCGGTGACTGGGCATGCGGGCTACATGACCCAGCCAACGCAGCCTTGCCTGCTGGAGCTCACCGATGGGACTTTGTCTAGGTCTTTCAAGGATCTCTCTGTGATCAGGGCTAGGCTGGCCCTGAACAAGATCCGTTTAGCATTAGGAGAAGTGTCAGCAGCAGATGTGAGTGTAAAGGCGATCGGTATGACCTTAGTGTCGCGGCATCTCTTCAGAAATGTGCGCGACTCGATCAGATGAGCCTTCTTGTCTCAAAGTTTGTTGAAAGATCTAATAGTTGTGTGGGAACCCTCCCCGTAGAGGCGGTTAAAAACACAAGATCCAGGTACGATTCAACACCATACATAAAATTCGTGATTCGATCCCATCTGTGAAGGATGTGATCCCTGACATGCAATACCCCGGTGTCTACAAACTAAGCTATGTATGCGGCAGCAGTTACATTGGGGAAACTAAGCGACATGTCTCGGACCGGGTTCGTGAACATAAGGCACATCTGAAACACGGTAGGACCAATACCTCAGCCGTGGCTGATCATTATTTATAACACTGTGGGCACACACGAAATTTATTTTGCCAAGACGAAGGTACTCTGCAAACCCACTGGCTATCAGCAAAGATTCGTTTATGAAGCCATCCAAATATATAAACAGACACAATTTCAACCGAGATAATGGGTACAAACTGAGCAATCATTGGAAGGACGTTATTAACCAGTTTAGGTCATAACTGGCTGTGTTGTTCCCTTCCTACCTGCTTATGTTAGCAGTTATTTTCTACTCTTTGAGTTACATTCACTAACACAGCCACAGTTAACTGTGTTAGTAAATGGCGGCTTGCCATCCTTTTCCACCTCCATGTGGCGATGGCTCTTTCCGAGCTCTCTCCAAGCTTACATTTACAAGTAAACTTCTTACATTGACATGCTAATCTCTCACAATACAATGGCCACCCCCACAGCTTCATTTGTCAAGATTTCTACGATCTTACATTTACATGCAAATTTCATCTCTAGCCCCGCCCACTGACCCTTGGGCTACACCCATCTCAAACCTTAGCAGCGCTCCCGCCATATATTTTTTCCTGCCTCAGCAGCTCTCCTGCTATATTTTTCACCCGACGACGATTGCTTGTGTTGCGATCGAAACGTCGTGATATTATTATTTTTATATCTACGTGGCTTTACCGAAAGACCCAAATATTACCAGATCATTGGCATACATAACATGGTTGACCAATAGGGAGCCATTCCTTGACCGCACCTGGGCATCGATAAACCTCCCATTGTATCTGTACCAGATGAAAATTGCTCTGGTACAGCCATCGAAGGCTTCATGAACTACGTGATCGAAATAGATATTAAATAATATAGGAGCCAGAGGACATCCCTGTTGCACCCCAAGGTGAGCAGGGAATAGCTCCAACTCCCGGCCACGTAGTATTACCCGGGCCCGCTCACCATCATGAAGGTCCTTAATGAAGAACAACCCAGAGCCCAGGCCTACTGATGATATCATAGGCCTTGACCAGGTCAATAAAGCAGAGATGTAGGTCTTGTTGGAATTCCCTACACCTCTGTTGTAGCAAACGGACAGAAAATATGGCATCTGTGCAGGACCGCCCTTTTCTGAAACCAGATTGGGGCTCCGCAAGCCTATCCTCAGCGTGTCTGGCAAAAGTGATGTTGAATAATCCTACCACTACCACCACCAACAATAGCCGCCATTCGCCACTAAGTGGCGGTGACATCACCACAGGACTTGTGTAAGGCTTGGTGCACTTTGAGGCCACGTGAAGTGTCTAAGGTTTGCTGACAACAGGTCACGGGACAGACCCATGTGTAATGGGTTAACTGCCTGAGATGACCGACAGATGCACCACCCGCACCACTACCACTAACGCCACTACAATGTGGGCCACCACGCACGTGGCAGTGGAGCAGAGAGGGGCCAGAGTTGCGGCCAACCGACCACTGTTCCATCTCGAACTCCTGTGGCGAACGATTGCCTCTGCGGCGGTTCACACGTGCACATTTACGTCACTAATTCCAGCAAGAGAAAGTTGGACTTGCTACCGTGCGCCACCTTCAAATGCCACTTTTCTCTTGCAGGTGGTGAGGCTGGATGGAGGAGAGTACGTGTCGATGGCTGGGGAGTTTAACGGTCTCAAACAGGTACGGCTGGATTAGATCGAGTAGGTCGCGTCGCACCAGCCCTGTAGCCGTTACGTTTGGGTCTCTACTGACCAGTGACTATTTGCTTAATCAGAATCTGTATTTATCCTGGAGAAATCCGATGAGCTATGAAGCTCTTTTTCACATGTCCAGTAGGGGTGGGTCAGAAAGTTACAACAAACAAAACAAAAACACGATTTTTGAAGAATAGGATAGGTAAACAAATCACTTAAATACATAAAATATATTAAGTATATAAGTTAAAAGGCCATGAGTAAATCAATTCCCAAGGTTGGAAAAGGCAACAAAACAACAGCAAGAACAGTCCCAGACCACACAAAGACAACACAATCCCTCAATAAAACTGAAAATTAACTATCGATACACGGGTAACGAAAGTTACAAATCATATTCGCAAATGCGGTTGTATCCAGCACTAATGTTCTGCTTCAGGATATGTTTTAAAGGAAGGTTTACGATGTTAAGGAAGGAACAAGGTTGTTCCAAAACGTTCAGAATATCAGAGTGTTTATATTGAAGGAATCCGATAAGCTATAAAGCTCTTTTTCACAGATGTACAGTAGGTGCGGGTAAGAACATTACAACAACAGTCGCAATACAACACGCTGGTACTCAACAGCAAAGGTTTTGTTACCCATTCCAATTCTTGTTCTTGGGATAGTTAAAAGGCAATTAGATGTCCGTCTTAGGTTTCTTGAGTTTGACAATGGGGTTAATGAATTAGCCAAGTGGAGCGACACCCTTAGTGAAGATCTCGCTTTAACAGACACTCACGTGCTTTGGTATTAATGCAACGGTGACGCGATGCCCCCAGATTCACGCTGCCAGAAGCCAGTAATGCATGTTGAAATTCTTTTGCACCGTTCGTAGCCACCAACCGTGCTAATCCGAACACCGAAGATGGTGACTGACGATGTCGATGTTGTTTTCAGGTCTCAAAGGAGCAGTGGGACATGATGGAGACAATGATTCGTAAGACAAAGGGCTCGTAAACCCAACACGTCCAGCGCGGAAATCAAAAGTCACAGCAAAGTCGTGAAACAAATTAACCAGGCACTGCCTCTGCAAACGGAGTAAGCGCTTATCGATAACTAGTTAAGTTGCACTTGCTGCAAAACTGTGGAATTTCCACCGCCTAGCATGGCTCATTTGAGCATGGTGACACTTCAGCCTTTGACTTTTTTCCATAAAACTCTTAAGTGCCTTAAAATGTTTCTGTTTATAAGAAAAATGTGAATTTCAAAATTGTATGCAATATATGGATATAAGCCAACAGTAGGCTCTCATTAATCAGCCTGAACACAATCATGCCTGTGAAATTACGCCAAGGAAATGTGGGTCCAGGTTGTCCGGTATTAAAGGAGAAACCCACAATGCCTTGTTGGTGAACTTCCTTTTCCATCGGACTTAAAATGCGCTGCTGTCGTTATATAACAATCGCAATAAAACTGACCAAGTTGTCCGTTGTGCCGTTTGGGAATATATGGATATGGACCTTAATCTTGCCCATCCTTATTTGATAGTGTGACTTGACTTGCAATATAATTTCAATTAATGGGGAGTCCTATTTTCTGGCATATCATGTTATATGCATGTCTGCCCACTGTGGCTTGCACAACAATGCCTGCGTTCAATTCCCGCACATGGAAGTTATTCTTGTGTTTTAGTTCCAGCGATGTAGTACATGTGTAATGCGGGCGTGGACGACCTTCCGGAGGTGACGTCATGGGGGGAGGAGTTACGTCACGTGGGGGAGAGGGTTGAGGTCTATAAGGGGGGAAACCGGAAGCAGTAGGGGAGTGATCGGAGACTGGGAAAGTGTGAGGCCACAGAGGGCGGAGTGGGGAAGAGAGAGAGTGGCGAGATCGCCACACACACACACCCCGAGGATCGGCACCGTCGGCCAACGGCGACCGACCCCGGGGCTGGAGGAGCAGCGAGGAGACTGCAGAGGGAGCAGCGGGTCTGCGAGGGTGGAGTTGGGCAGCGGGGGTCTGCACTACGAGACAGCAGCGGGTCTGCAAGGAGGGAAGTGGGCTACGTGAGCGACAGCAGCCTGGGGCTGCAGAGCGAAGAGTATATAGGGGAGTGCTGTGAAGTGGGCTACGTGAGCGATAGCAGCCTGGGGCTGCAGAGCAAAGAGTAAGGGGGAGTGCCGTGAGGGAAAAGAGACCGAACCCAAATAAAGGACACAGGACAGAGAGAAGCGTCCGAGTCTTTTATTACACTGGTGTTGGAAGTGTAACGGCATGGCAAAACAACTGAGAAAAAAGAATATTCCGTCTCCGGCATCGGCTTCTTCTTCCGACGACGAAGACCTTTCTCCTACGGTGGACCTGACTCCGGCAGAGGAGGAGATCCGTGCTGGGACGAGTGCTGGTCCGGGGGTCCAAGAGGTCGTCGCGTCGGCGGACCCGTCTGCACCAAAGGACGTGGATTTAAGATGGAGTCAGATGGCGGAGCAACTTGAAACTCTCAAGAACATACTTGCACAGTTGTGTGAGCTCGTCACGCCGAGAACGGCGTCTGGAGGAGATGTTGGTGGTCCGCAGGAGCCCGGGTTGTCTTCGCTGTCGACGCCATCAGCCACGCGGCGTGAGGACGCCATCTTGGGCGTGGCGCACGAGGAAAGGCGGGAAGCCGCCATTTTGGCCCCTTCGCGGCGTAAGGCCGCCATCTTGTCGACACCACGTTGCGACGCCATGTTGAATCTGCCACCCGATGAGTCAGCGGCTGGAGGGAGCGCGCCAAGAGGTCGCAGTCGTCACTTAACGACTGTAAAAGAATTCTCCATCGGGGGCGATTGGAGTGCGTTCGCCTGCAGATTTTTAGCAGCGGTACGCACGGCGAGGTGGACTGACGCCGAGGCATTAGAAGTTCTTCCGACTCTTCTCGATGACGAGTCTGTTAGATTCTTTCGCTCGATAAAAGCCGCGAAGAAGAAAACGTTGCGAGGTGTATTCGACGAAATGGCTGACGCTTACGAGCCACCGGACGATGCTCATCGCCGGTTTGTGCAATGACAGCGCGCACCCGAGGAGTCTCCGGTGGCGTATAGGGGCACGGTGCTGGAACTGGCTATGGCTGCATACCCGGAGACGGAGCCTGACCTGCTGGAACCTCTCATCCTGGGGAAGATGCTGGAGCTGTCCCGGGATCTCGGCATTCCTATGCCGGTGTGTGGTCATGAGAAGCTCACCTCCCGGGCTGCGGCCAAATGTCTTGATGCCCAGTTCAACCTGCGCCGGTGGAAGCAGGTTACGGCGTGGACGGGGGGGCCTATCGTCGAAGGGGGAGCCTTGGGTTGGGACCCCAAAAAGGCAGTTTATGTGCCAGACGACAGGGGCCCGCAGGAGCTGTCGGCTGCCGCGGCTCCGTGGACGGGCCGAGGGGGGCCGGGGCCACGGGCTGCGCCGCCGACATGGCCACGTCGGGACGGGGCATCCGCAGCGCGCCGTAACGACATCGACTGTTTCCGCTGCGGGCGTAAGGGCCATTACGCTCGGGACTGCTGGGCCCGCGTTCCGGGTCCGCCCCAGCAGGAGGCCTCGACTGCGGCCGCTCCAAGAAAGGATTCGCCAGCACAGGCAAGTCGGTGCGCACCAGACACCCGGCAAGGCTTGACACCTCACTCATCACCGTTGTCATGCGATCCGGGTGTTGTTAATAACGGGAGGCCATCGACTGCGCCTTGTCGCTCGGTAACGCAGTGGCGTAAGTTGGCTCGGCGGGTTGTCGCGGCCGCTACCGGTTCGTCCACCATACCTGGGTCGATACAAGGGGTGGACGTACGGATTTTGGTAGATTCTGGAGCGTCCGCGACCATTATTTCTGATGTAATATTTCATCTCTTGAACATCCCACCAGAGGCCGTGAGTCCCGCATACGCTTCCTGCGTCGCCGCGAACGGGGGTAGCATGGGCATTGTGGGCCAGGTGAACGCTAACATCGCTATCGGGGGAGTGTCGGCCTCGGGAATTGTGTTAATTTCGAGGTCTCTTGCGGTTCCTTGTTTGTTAGGGACCGATTTTCTGGCCAAAATGCCCATTCTGATTCGAATTAATGAGAACTGCATTGAACTACCGGAAGGCCGAAAGATTGCGTTTTTGCCGTCGCCCTGGGGGCGACCTGATCCTGTTGCCCAGGTGCAGGCGTTGTCCGAGGTGTCTGTCGATATTCCACCTGGCTCACAGATACTCATTCCCTTGCATTATCGGAAGCCTGTACCTGGTCGTCAAGGAGCGATTGGTGTTTTGTTGTCGCCGTCCGCCGCTATTACGGGTGGATCAGCGCTGGTTGGGGCACAAACTATTGTCCGGCCAGACCAACAGCCGTTTTTGCAAGTGCTTAACGCGGGTACCGAAAGTGTGTGTGTGCCGGCGGGTACTGTTGTGGCACATGCCACTACTGCGTTTACAGCTCATGATAATCTGTCCAGCCGGGGGGTTGTCGGATGTGTTTCGGGGGCCGGAGCTGCAGATGATCGCTGGATCGCTGAATTGTGTGCGGAGAATTCGGTTCTTTCCGGGGAACAACGTTGTGCGATTCGTAAATTATTATTGAGCTATTCTGATGTGTTTAGCTCTGACGATTTGGACTTGGGACGCACCTCGTTGCTTTACCATCATATTGACACAGGGGACGCTGCCCCTATTCGGTTAAACTCGCACCGGATGAGTCCGGCGGAGCGCGAGCATGTTCGAGGGGCAGTGGATGACATGTTGGCTGCGGACATAATATCTCCATCTAACAGCCCATGGGGCGCGCCTGTTGTTTTGGTCAAAAAGAAAGATGGCAAATTGCGATTTTGTGTAGATTTTCGTAAATTAAATAAAGTGTCGGTGGCGGATGCGTATCCCCTGCCGCGTATGGACGACTCTCTCGATGCCTTGTCGGGGGCGAAGTTCTTCTCAACGCTAGATCTCTCTTCGGGCTTCTGGCAGCTTCCCCTTGACGAGTCCTCGCGAGAAAAAACTGCTTTCCGTACGCCGCAGGGGTTATTCCAATTTAACTGCCTTCCGATGGGGCTGAATGCGGCCCCTGCCACTTTTCAGAGGTTAATGGAGTTGGTATTAACGGGGTTGCAGTGGGAGACGTGTCTTATATATTTAGACGATGTTATCGTCTTCAGCCGCACATTTGACGAGCATTTATCGCGGTTGGAGGCTGTGTTCACCAGGATGCGTTCTGCTAATTTGAAATTTAAGCCTAAGAAATGTCACCTACTGCAACACTCCGTGTGTTATCTGGGGCACATCGTTAGTGCGGATGGGGTGGCCACGGATCCGGACAAGACTGCGTGCGTCCGTGACTGGCCAACCCCTGCCACGGTGGGGGATGTGCGTCGGTTTTTGGGGTTCGCCTCATATTATCGGAGGTTTGTTCCAAATTTTGCCACGATCGCGAGGCCTTTGCATCTCCTTACGGGAAAAGGACATAAATTTGCTTGGGGACCACCAGAGGAGGCAGCGTTTCGAAGCCTACGCGATCTATTGGCTACGGCGCCGACGTTGGATTATCCGGATTTTGAACATCCCTTTATTCTGGATACGGACGCGAGTGACACGGGTATTGGGGCGGTGTTGTCTCAGTCCAAGGGTGGTGTGGAACGCGTGGTGGCGTATGGTAGCCGGGTTTTGTCTCCCGCTGAGACCCGCTACTGCGTCACACGCAGGGAACTTTTGGCTATTGTTTTTTTTCTCCGCCAATTTCGACCGTACCTGTACGGCCGTTCGTTTATTGTTCGCACGGATCATGCGGCCTTGCAGTATGTTCTTAAAATGGACCAACCATCCGGCCAGCTGGCGCGGTGGTTGGACACGCTGCAAGAATTTTCCTTCCAAATTCACCATCGGAAGGGAGTGCGTCACGCTAATGCGGACGCACTTTCCAGGCTGCCGCAGCGATCCCCTTGCGCGTGTGCGTCGGGGACGCATAGGTGTGGCCCGATTCAGCACCCCCCTCAGCCTGTCGCGTTGGCAGTCGAGGTGCCTGAAGCTCCGCTTGAGCCGGGGCCGGCTGATGGGGGACCGGCTGATGGCATTTTACATCTTCCGAGGTCCGTGTGGATCCGAGAACAAATGTTGGATGATTCTTTGGTGACATTACGTAAGCGGCCAGTGAAGGGAGAAAGGGATCTCTGTGCGGGGGGTGTGCCGGAAACTGCTCTCCGTGATGGCTTGTTGATGTGGAGGGATGGAATACAGGAACGCTGGCGTCTTGTTGTACCGGCATCATTGCGGTACGAATTGATTAGGACTCTGCATTGTGACACGCTTTTACATCTGGGGGTGCAAAAGACCCTATTGACGCTGCAGCGAGATTACTATTGGCACGGCATGACGACGGATGTCGTCGGACACGTTCGTGCGTGTCC